AAGCAGGGGGGGGGGGGGGGGGGGTCTCGTAGATCAGTAGAACGGTTGCAAGACTATTTTTTCCTCTAGCCTTTAACACTCATCAAGATTTTGACAATCAACCCCTCCTCCCCACTTCAACGCCACGCCACCACCGGGATACCTCGAGCGCAAAAATAACACGCTGCAACCTCAAAACTCCAAACCTGTTGCACCCTCCCATCCACCCCGTCATCCCAAGCGTACCCTTCGATCGTCTCCTTCTCCATGAACAGCCTCAAGGGCTACCTCTACCCCAGGTCACGCATACGAAATCGTCTCCCTCTCTCCCTCACATCGACACCCTCGTCCGCGTCTCCTCCCCCCTCGACGCCCCCCTTGCTCCCCCCGTTGCTGCAGCCACCACAGTGGTCCCGGCCACGGAGTTGGCGGCGGCGGTTGCAGGCTGCGGGCAGATGAGCAGGGTGAGGCAGGGTCGACATGGTACATCCCATCAAGATTGACGTGCAGGAGAAACCACAGACTCTAAGGACACGCTGGAGGCGAGACCGACCAAAAAAACACAGGACCGCAAAAGTACAAAACGGGGGCAGCACATGATGCGAGGAGAGGCTCTAATTGGGGGAGTTGGGGGCTTATTGGCTGCGCCATCATCATGTTTGCTGTCGGTCATATCAACATGACGATCCCGGATGCCTTGTCGTGCACACACAACTGACCTACCGCCGCAAGAAAGCCGCTCGCTATACGTACACCCCACACGACACATGTCGTTTCGAGGCGACGACACGACACGCGATACGCACCGTCTATCTTGTCGAAGAGGTCCACTCCATTGTAGCGATAACACTCCTCCGCACTGCACTTACGCGTCGATTGCACTGCGCCATCAAGATCCTCGACCGTTCAAAGGATAGAACAGGAGGAGATCCAAAAAAAGAAAAACAGACAGACATGCCGACTCAGCCAGGACCCAACCAAACGGAAAAAAACAAAAAAAACGCGCACCGCCTGCAAGAAGTAACCTTGCACGCAGCACGAAGCCCAAGCATCACGCACGACAAGAAGTCTATCCGGTAGGATAGGGCAGGCGACGTGGTTCCGCCGACACGTTCGCAAACTCGAAATGCGCAAGGTTCAGCCAGAAAACGAACACGCAACACCAGCTGACGCTATCGCCGTCGGTGTGCATGCTTCTGTCGTGTTTTCCCACCTACTCTGCTGTACCTGTCCTGTTTTGCGTTGATCGTCGGACCGCTCCTAAGGTTCCCGCAACTCCCCCCAACCAAGCTGGACACCAAGACCGTTGAGGACGAAGGCGAGAGCCGGTGATTCGGTTCACCTGCGCTGCAGCCCGCAGTCAAGGGAACCAGGGTTGGGGTTGGGCGAACGGTCGAAGCTTCAGGACAAGAGACGGAAGGCGTCGCCGGTGTTCACTTTTGACAAGATGTCAGCGTTCCACGAGGGGGGACGGCCTGAACGTCATGTCGCCCAACTACCCCAGGCGGGGAAGTTGCGGGATGTTTTGCGGGATGTTCCCTGCCCCGACTAACAACCACGCCTCAAGCATGACGCGGATTTTGAAGACTTTCTAACCGACCAAAGGAGTTAGACACGCCGACCGTCAAATGAGACCGACACACAACACAACGCAAACAAAGGATGCTTCCACTTCGCGAGCAGCTGCAGCGGGACTACCCGCTTGTGTCTACAACGGGCTAGCCCCAAAATCGATTCGAAAACCAAACGATCACGGCCCGCAAGCGGGACCAATCACGAGCACATGTAGGCACACATCAACTTGGCCAGTAAACAAGGACGGTCCGCAACCAGAGGTTATTCTTCGTTCTCTAGCCGCGCACCGTTCCGGCGCTCTGTGCCCCCCGTCCCCCCCCGTCCCCCCTCCTCACCGAGGTTGAGGATCCCGTTTCTCAGGAGGGCTCCACCATCAACAGCTGATGCAGGCACGAGTTAGACCCAAGTTCCGTAGCCCCACGCGTCGAGCACGGACTGGAAAAGGCAGCACCGGTTGCGCGTGCGAGAAAAAAAAGGCATATCCCTCGACGGCCGTTTCGCGATGTACAGCCATTAACACTAAGAGCGGAGGCATCGATGGCAGATGTCTCCAAATGAATTTGTACGGAGAGGCTGAAGAGTTCAGGCACGGCCGCGCCGTCGGTCGGAAAAAAACATATCATGCAGTTCTCACGTGTTCTTTCGTCTTCGCTCCACAGGGACACGAATCTTTTTTTTTTTTCTGTGGACGCAACCCCGCCGACGACAAAACCGACACTTAGCAAAGAACTCAACAAGACAAAATCGTCTACCGCTCGCCAAGAAAGACAAGAAAAGCGGTCGTTGACAAAAAACAAATTACAAAAGAAGTACGAAATACGAAGTTTATCGCTCGTTCGTATGAGTATGGGGGCTGCTTGTGATCGTTGAGTCCGATCTGTGCGTCCTCTGTGGGGGCTATATGTGTGTGTGATGAGTATGTAGGCGATTGGAGACTAAGTGCGGACCCCCCTGGAAGACCACATGTCGGTATGCTCCGGTCGCTTCCCTGTGGGGTCAGCAATCCTTGTCCTGTGTGATATACATGATGGCTACGCGCGTTCCTGGGATAACTTCGTCCCCAGTAGTCAACACCAGCCACTGACGGCACTGCAACGAACAAAGACCAAGGAATGGAGCCCCAAGTCTCCACCAGTCGTCCAGCGTTCGCGTTCGGGTTAGAGAGCGAAGACAATAGAGGTGACAGTTTCAAACTTGAACGCTCTTTAACACTTCTTCTGCAAAACAAAAATTTCCCACGCACTCCCATACTTCTCCCATATAGCCTCAAACACGGCATCCGGCGTTTGACAGAGCTTGCTGCCTGATCGTGTGCTACCCTTACCACCATCAGGCCTGAACGACCACGTCAGCCCCTTACGCCCAAATTCGTTCTTCCTTCGTAGAGCCACTGTACGAGCCATCTTGCGGATTGCGTCTGCTTTGGACAGAGGCCTTACGTGTACTGGCACTGTACGAGCCACATTGTGGATTGAGTCTGCATTGGTGGGAGACCCTGCGTTCTCCGCGGTGGCATCGACGTCCCCTCCTCGCAGCTCCATCATGTTTTGGGGTTGCAAACTGACCCTAGGAACACGTACAAAGCTGCTTACAGCGGCTGACCCTGGCCCCGTTTCCCTCGGTCTTGCGAGCCACAATCGACGTCGTCCACAAGCTCTACCTTCGCTCGTACTGCTTCCGCCCCTAGCATTTGCTCCACCTGGGTTATCAGGGCCTCGGCCCATGTAGCCATTAACGTTGAGATTCCCCTCACCCCCGACCAACGGTGCCACACTAGTCAACCTGGACGTAGCTCTCATCTCGGTATCCTCACGTCGCCCCCACGACAACCCCCCCCCATGAATACCTCCATCCTTCGCCCCCTGGTCACTACGGGACGTGGTTTCTTTCCTGCCTATCTCCATGCCGTGTCCACCAGAGTCGCTCTCGTTTTCACGAGAACTACCACCACTAACACTACCACTACCATCAACACCACCCTCGCACGGATACTCAGCATGTCCCTCCGGTCTGTCGTCATCTGCACGACCGCCGTGATACATCTCACGGTCTAGCCACCGGACACTCGTGTCCCGTACATTGTCCACGGGATCTGGCAGGCCTTCCCCGCCTGGGGACGCGTCACCGCCGTCACCACCATCATGAATAGGAGACCCCACGACATCCATCCCCCTACCACTAACCTGCAATGTCGCGCTGCCGTCCGTCTGGGTATCCTGAAATGGCCCCTGCTCATATGTCCTTCCTCTCTTCAACCGGTGAACGCCGGCGGCGTTCGCGCCTGCGCCGGCAATCACTGAGTCACCGCTGCTACCATCGCCACCAAGTCCATCGACAGAATAGGGACATCCATTCTGTCGGCACCACAGGCGCTCGTCTACGGTACCCTCGCGAGTGCCACCAACGTTTCCCGGATCCTCGGCACAACCTTCTCCTTTCGCCTCCTCTACACCACCGCCGAGGTCTACGTTGTGGCTAATGTACCCGCGCCTCATATCCTGTACGTTGTCCTCACGTTCTTCTATGCCATCTTCCGCGGGGCGTGTCGCCACACCATCAAAACCACCGTCAAAACTGTAGTCCCCACAATCCATCTCACTAGGAGCATCGTCAAAGTCAGCCACGCCATCTGCCTCGGGGAAAGCCGCGCCCCCCCCCTGATTGCACACGGACGAACTGAACAACGCGTCGCCGACGTCATCGTCTTCTTGTCCGTTGCCTGAGATATGACATTTTGTGCGCCGGGGCGGAGGACCTCTACTGTCGTGATATCCCGGTCGGTGCCTTACAGTGCCTCTGCTTGGGCTCACTCTACTACCGACTTCGCCGTCGCTTGAAGCACCTGAATATTTGTTCCTGGCCATATCGACCCTCCTCCAAGGGCGCCACTTGGCATCTCCTCGTAGCGGAGATTCTCTGGCCGCGTCGCTGTCTCCGTCGATGTCCTCTTCGTCAGAGCCGGAGAAAGAACTAGTAGATGGCTCCCTGAAGCCACCACCCGGTGCTTCGTCTGCCTCGTCATCTCCAGTGTTGACGTCTGGCGGCTGGGCATTGGAAGAAGGGTCGTTAGGGGCCATTCGATCTTGGCTTCCTCCTGAGATTCTGTTGTGACGACCGCCCTACTGGCGGAGTCTTGCCTCGCTTGGCATCGCGGTTAAATTCTTCGAGGAGGCCGACGCGCGCGCAGGCTTTCTTGTCGCTCCCAACATTTTTGCCCTTCATCCCCAGGAGGGAAGAAATACTCTATATACCGGGCTCTGCCAACCAATGCGATATAGGGGCCGTTCTGCAATTTGCGCCTAATTATGGAACGTCCGAAAATAATCGCTTTTGTTCGACCAAGAGCGAGGTCTGCAAGTAGAGCACCGATTTACGATCTGCTGGCTTGTAAGGAGGAAGCAATTTAGGCACTCTTCGTCACACCGGTTTCGTCGCACTCCGACGACAGATGGCCGTGCTTGACAGGCATTTGTCCCAAAAATCATTGGACATTTGTACCCCTTTTCCCGCGGGGAGTTATAGAGAGGTAATGGAGCAACAAAAATCGGAGATCTCCCACCCCCACACACGTAGTTGCTTGGTTCCAACCAGGAGAAACAGAGGAAGCACTCAACTAAACACGCAACACCGCTGGGAGGGGCAAGACAGCACTGGCGAAGGAAGGGAATCATACATACAGCTCGTGGCCGATGTCATTGTCATTGCTGTTGCTTCGGTGTGTGGGGAGGGATCATCGGTGAACCAAACCTGCGCCTGGGGCAACAAAAATACAAAGAAACTGATCCCGGCAGACGCCTGCCGCGTATCGTTTTACGGCTGTGCCACATTCTCGCGCTCGGAATTTCTGAGCGTCCTACAGCCTGCCGGTCGGTCTTAATCACCACACGAGACGTTTCATACACACAGCTCGCGGGGAATACCCTTACAATTTCTGTTACATTACTCTGTGAAGAGAAACCACAGAAAAACTTAAATCGATAGGGGAACATATGGAAATGTATGGCGTATGCACACCGGTTTGCCGTAGGTGACACAAGATACCACACACCCTGTACCGATTCTTAAAGCCAAAATCTCCACGACGAACAGGATGCTTAATCCCAGCGAGATGTCGGAAAGCTCTCGGCAAGAAGGAGGCGGTTCCCACACCAACATTTTGGGCACCGCCACCTTTTGTGATGTGGAGCAACCAAGCTTTGGAAATTGGTCCAGGGTGTGGTATCTTGTGTCACCCACGGTACTGCTGTATGCACACGAACCTCAACGGCCGTTCGTTCTGCGGGAGCCTTTTTTTTTAGAATATTTTCGTTGATGACTCGAATTCACAATTCAAAATAATAGACTGCACCCGCCCCCCTGCAAAATACATCGCAGATACTAGAGTACTGCAAGGCATTGAGTCGGCTACCACGCGGCTCAATACCCCGCCTTGTCTAGGTACAGGCCTGGGTTTTACAGAGCTGGGTAGTCCGCACAAAGTATCCTAAGCGTTCACTCTCTTGGCCGCTCATGCTAAACTGACTCACCGGCGACGGGTCCAGGGCAGGAATAGAAGGATCTTGTTGCTTTTCTTCTTCGCCAACGTCCTCCTCCTCCTCCTCCTCCTCCTCCTCCTCCTCCTCCTCCCCCTCATCCTCCATCCTGAGGTTTGGCAATGCAGAACGTCAAGACCGTGGAGGTCCGAGGTGGGAGTCTTCGTACTTTGGTACACATGCATGCAGCTGAAAACATGCGGCATGCGGATTGAAACCCAGAAAAATCCAGAATACACATCAAGGTCGTAGGAGTGGTGTCGTGCATGTATTCAGTATTTCGGTGTCGTACATTCGATACACAAACATGGTCGTTTGTGTGTGCGTCACCCACATGTGGAACATTGTTTTGAGCGCAATAATCTTTCATTGACGATGCTGCACAGCACTGTGCACTTTTTTATTCACTACTGGAATGTTTACGTGTTAAGCATGGCGTCCTCACGAACAGACATTCTTTCTGCGTGTTGCGGCCTTGCCTGTGTATATTGAAAAGAGTTTTGTTGTACTTTACATGTGCGTGCCTCGTGAGAACAGCGCCCTGTATCAGAGAATCAAGACATCACCCAAGTGGAGACAGGAGCGTTCACTAAACACATGCTTGTCGGGAATATCTATGAGTGAGAGTGAGTGTGTGGCGTGCAGTATACGCAGAAATAGGTAAAATGTATGCATGTTCCTTTGATGATTTCGCTGTCAAAATCCAAGCAATATGGAGTAGCAGCAGCTATGCTTACAGTGGTGACACGCAATAGAATAATCTACGAAGTACTAGCTCAAATAGTCAACGAGCTGGCCGTAGTAGCCTCAATATTCAAACGCAAGGATATGTACGATACGCACGCGGGGCTGCCAGGATGACCCGTTGAGATATTTCGTCGGCGGCCGAGGCGGAGATCCAGGGGTCAGGTACAGGGGTTATTGTTTTTGGTGTTGTCTTGTTTTGAGCTGGGCACAAGCGTGCACCTACCCCGCGTACTAAATCCCTTTCATCGTCATCTAAATCCAAAATGGGCCCGGAGCCAGTACACCAAAGACATTTTTTGTAGTCTCTTTGTTCCGAGACAAACCGAGCTGCTACGGCACTCTAGTTTATACGGCTGCTGCTATTTTGCATACCAGCATACGGATAAACCTGAGCAGCCTGCAAAATGTCTGCTGTCTGCAGAAACATACCACAGAAAACGGTCACCCTGGTAGAGGTTCTACTCCCGATTCTCTCTCTCCGTCTCTCCCCCCCGTCCTACTAACACTGTTGTTGGTGCTGCTGCTGCTGCTGCTGCTGCTGCTGCTGCTGTTCCTGCTGATGCTGATGCTGATGCGGGTGCGGCTCAGGATGATGCCACCGCGGCTGCTGCTGCTGCTGCGGCTTCTGCTGCTCGGAAAAGGCGAATCATGTGTAGTGGCAACGTGCGGCGTGGCGGGGCATTTTGTTTGGCTCGAATATTCTCTTTTCGACGGGGACCCAATGGAAAACGAAACAAGATGCATGCTTATCAGGCCGTTAGCACAGACATGAGCAGGAACAAGTGGTCAAAGGGGCCCGTGGATGAAAAATGACATAAATGTACCGTGGATGAAAAATGACCCAAACAAGGGGGAGATAAATACAACGCCTTTTCGGTTCTTGCCTGCAAAAGGCAGTACCTGCCGTCGGCTACAAGGTTGAGCTCTGGGGAAAGGTGATTCACAGAGGGGGTGGTGGTCAACAACAGCAGCCAAAAGAAAAAACTCGGCCCGGTCTCAAGCCTTTCGTTCGTTGATCACGACGCAACTCAAAAGCGTGTGACAGATGGCAAGGCTACCGGGGAAGGTACATAAAATTATTCCTCACTAGACCCTCAAACACAACCGTAGAGAGGTGTACGGCAGTGGCAGTACACGAAAGGGAGGTGTATAGCAGTACATGAACGGCGGAGTGTAGCAGCGCCAGGATGTGTATGTTGTGTGAATGTTGTGCCTCGCTCTCGTAGTCTTGTTGAAAAGAAAAATTCGCTATCCTGTCTCTCTGCTGGGCGTTTTCGCGAGATACCTACAAACACAGACCCAACGTCAGTACGCTTCAAACAAACACATAGCAGTCTAAGGTTGGTTGTTTGTTCTCCACCTGTTGCCTTTCTCTCTTCTGGCTTGAAAAGACGAGAACAAAAACGGCCGATCCAACGTGTGGTCCTGTGTAGCTAACAGCAGCATATCTATCTGTGTCTCTTGTGTCTCTCTTTGGCTCGCCGTGAACTAGCCTATAAAAGAACGCAACAGCAGCAGCAGCAGCAGCAGCAGCAGCAGCAGCAGCAGCAGAGAGCACCAAAACAATCACGCCTACGTCGGCTTTTGGCGGGGACGCTTGCTTCCCTACATAATAGTGCGGTACAGATGCCCTGGTAGTCGAGGCAACGTTCACGGTTTGAGCGGGAAGAAGATGTGACAGCAGGGAAAATAGGAGGCACAAGTGTAGGCTTTTAACTTGGCGGCTAGTCGGTGCAATGGGCTCCAGCCCCTTGCGATTAGTAGACGCATGTTGTACGTACAGACACACCCCGTGCAAAAGAGTGTGACCTGGGATTATCAATACGCCTACCTGAATTTGTCGGGATATCTCTTAGCAATTTTTTCTTGCTATTTGACATGTAAAGAAAAAATGTCACCCCTTTCAGTGCCCTTTCAGTGCCCTTTCAGTGCCCTTTCAGTGGGTATTAAAACCAAAGGTTTACTCGGTAATTTTTCCGCCGTTGCATTACCGCCGTGGTGGGCGGTCCCGGTAGTCCGCCGTTTTACCGTCGTTTTTTTGTTTTACGACCTCCGCCAAAAGAGTTACCGCCGAAAACCACGTTACCGCCTACAGCCAAAACAATTTCCGGGAGAAACCGCCGAAAAACGACCCAAAATATATATGTTGTACCGCCTCCGCCAAAGCCGTTACCGCCAAAAATTGCATTACCGCCTACCGCCCAAACAATTACCGCCATACGTCAATACCGCCGAACGATTGGCTGAGTAAGTAGAGGTCTAGCCTCGACTTCTGTACCACAGTATGATTCAGGAGTTCAAGTACATGTGTGGACGTACTTCTTCCGACCATTTCTTGTTCATGAAGTGTGTTCTTTGGTTCGGGTTCGTTTTCGGGAGAACCATTGAATGTATTCAGTGGACAGGGAGACGAGGAGGCACACACATGTTTTTATGTGGAATTGACTCTAAAATGTGAAAGCCATGGTGAAAACGACAAAACAAACCACATGGAAGTACACGATGGTCAATCTTCGGCAAAGTGGTTAGCCGTCTGTTCGGGTGCGCCAACTTGGCACCGCAAATGCCGCCTTGTTGTCGTGTCGCTTGAAGTTGTGGCCATAGGCAATGGCAATCATTTCTGCCGTGAAATTCCTGCCGTGGTGGGCGGTCCCGGTAACCCGCCGTTTTACCGCCATTTCTTTTGTTTTACCCCCTCCGCCAAACTCGTTAGCGCCAAAAAACGCGTCACCGTCTACCGCCAAGACAAATTACCGCCGTATGGCGTTACCGCCGAAAAATTACCGCCAAAATTATGTTTAACCACCTCCGCCAAAGTCGTTACCGCCGAAAATCGTAATACCGCTTACCGCCAAAACAATTACCGCCGAATGGCAATACCGCCGAAACAATGCCGCCAAAAATTGGTTTTACCGCCTATCACCAAAGTCGTTACCGCCGAAAAACGCATTACCGCCTATCACCAAAATAATTACCGCCAAACGGCATTACCGCCGAAGCCTTGTCCGCCTAAAAAAACGTTACGAGTAACCCTTGAAAACACAACCTCTCATCACCGTACACAGTCACCAAGTGCTTCGAAATACTTCGTTGTTCTTTGTGGCAACAGGTAAATTGACACACCCGTGTGCCAACTTGCAGGGCATTCCTCCAAAAATGTCCTAACGACGGATACACCCATGTGCTGCTGCAAGACTAATTAGCCACCAAGTCGTGAAATGATCGGATGGCCCCCCAGACCCTTTTGCAAACTGCTGTATGGATCAGTCACACGCTCGTACAAATTACCGTTGGGTTGCCACGTATGCGGTGAGATGAGGATGACTTGAACGCCTGAACGCATACACCTTGGGCCGCATCAGGGTCAAATCGCTACAGTGGTAGCTACGGTTTAAGAGAGTGTCGTGAGAAGCCACTATCTCTCTCTTAAATCCGGTTTTCTCTTATACGGTGTTGGCCACGGTCTAAGAGAAACATATCTTAAACCGTAGCCAACTCAGCTACGGCCCTTTAAGAGCCATGCTGTTGCCGAAACCGCCTGGCGAGGTCATGGAGGTCAAAAATGACATGTTGAGAACGTTGCTGCTGCGTGCATCAGTGCCTTCTTTGTGCTCGCGAGACGTACCGAATTTTACAAATGCATGGAGCAAAAAAAACAGCGACAAAAATAAATCGAAATGATACACGTGGTCTGGCGGCTTTCGCCGCCCCGCATAATAGATCGATTGCAAGATACGCGATAAGTGGTACTCAACATTCGTGCCAGAAAAATGCAGTATTGAAATGAGAATGACGATGGGTCGGTGCAGAAAGAGAGGGCGACTCGATTTTTGCCAAACAGCGAGCAGCAGTATCCGACCAAACATCAAACAAAATGAAATTTCACATGCATAGGTGGATGGAGAGTGGTAGTGCTGACTGGCGGCTTTCGCCGCCCCGCGCAATAAAAACTTCGATCACACCGACCGACGCCAGAAGTGCACCCGGCGTCTACTCGCGTGGTTCATCGTGTATCATCAACTGAGTAGATACCTGTACGTTGCAGCAGCAAGCTGTACCACCACGGCACACAGAGTTTAAATGTACATACATGCGGCGTGGATGGATGGGGAGCGGAGGAAAGTGGCGACCGGTACCGCGGACGACCGAGCCACACGACGCAGAGCGAGGCAGACGCAGAGCGAGAACAAATATGCATGCATCTACTCCATATGTGGGATCAGCATGATCAAGAAGCGCCCGAAAGATCCCGCAGAGACGGAAATAAAGAAAATAAATGCGGCTCTGAGAGCGGCCAAAGCGCCGAAATTGAGCCCTCTCAGCGCCCGAGAGAAATTTCTCGTGAATGCTCGCGGAATTGT